GGAGAGCCTTCTCTGTGGCAGCTCCTGCCCTCTGGAATGACCTGCCCCCCGACCTACGTACAATTGCGGACCTGCGCCTTTTTCGCCGAGCCCTGAAGGCCCATCTATTCCGTGCGGCCGGCCTGGCGTAGTTTGATTATGTTTTAGTGGGGGTTTTGTATGGGGTGTTTTTAGAACAGGCCCGTTATTTAATTTGATTTTAGCACAGAAACTATTTATTTATTATTGTGGTTTTTAGTATCGCCTGTTCACCGCCCTGAGTCCCGTAAGGGAGATAGGGCGGTATATAAATTTAATAAATAAATAAATAAATAAACAAACAAACAAACAACTGACTCACATTTATGACGGCTGCAGTGTCCTGTGGACATATGATCCCTCTTGCGACCTTCTGACAAGCAAAGTCAATGGGGAAACCAGACTGACTTAACAAACCGTGCGCTTAATTTAACAACTGCAGCAATTCACTTAACAAATGTGGCACGGGGCGTCATAAAATGGGGCAAAACTCCTTTAACACATTTGTCATTTAGCAACATAAATTTTGGGCTCGACCGTGCTCGTAAGTTGAGGAGTACCTGTGCAGGTTTTTATTCCAAACGGAGCACCGAAAGGTACTTCAGGCCGCCTTTGCAAGGTTTGTTTAAATAAGTTATTTTCCCTATCGAGATGCGTTAGGATGGGGAGGGGGTGAAAATGTGCAAGGGGCTTGTAATCGGCAGAAGGCCACCAAAGACAGAAGTCTCTCCCAGTTGCCCTTCCTTCACCTACGTGCCTGCTTTTAGGAGACCGCTATCCGGAAAAAACATCGAGGCAGGTGGTAGCAGGGTCACCCCTATGAGAGGCAGGGAAGGAGGCTTCTGAGACAACAGCGCCGATCCAGCTTACCTGCCGTTTCCCGGATGCTGTCAGGGGAAGCTCCGAAAATACGTCATAGCCTCACCTAGAAACAACCTCCAGTCTCCTTTAGCGCAACTGGCTGCCCTCAACCCCACCCCGACCCGCAGGCTCTTACGTCACGACGGCTTCCGTACTACAACCCGCCGGTTCGTTAAGGCCAGGGGTAGGCAACCTCGGCTCTTTTATGACTCATGGACTTCAGCTCCCAGAATTCCTGACCTCGGCTCTTTTATGACTCATGGACTTCAGCTCCCAGAATTCCTGAGTCAGCTATGCTGACTCAGGAATTCTGGGAGTTGAAGTCCATGAGTCATAAAAGAGCCGAGGTTGCCTATCCCAGGTTAAGGCGCTCTCATGCCCTGGACATCACGAGGAACCCGGAAGCGGAAGTGCGGAAGCTCGCAGGGGTAGCCGTCACCTTGCAACAACGCCACCCCTCCAACCTCGGAGAGATCCGACCGACTTCCCCCAGAAAAGGCGGCCAAAGCCACGCCACAAAGTCCGGAACCGGTACCACACGCTCTTGACACTCAACTTCCCTACCCCCCCTCTCGCGCGCCACATTTCACTCTTCCGAGCAAATTGCTGATTCCACGTCAAACCCCCCCCTCGTCCTGAGAAAAGAGAAACGTTCGGGTTGCCCGGACGCTTCTATTTTTGGTCCCGGGATTGTCCTCCAAAGAACGGGCTACTTCCCCCCAGTAAGGAAGTCTAGTTGTATGTCTGAAGGACTCGGGACCTAGTGTGTATCAGATCAGTTGTTGTTCAGTCGCTAAGTTGTATCCGGCTCTTCGCAATCCATGGCACGCACGCCCCCCCCCCCCATCCTCCACTGTCTCCCGGAGTTTGCCCCAATTCATGTTTATTGCGCCGATGACACTATCTAACGCAGTGTTTCTCAACCTTGACAATTTTAAGGCAGGTGGACTTCAACTCCCAGAATTCCACAGCCAGCAACGCTGGCTGTGGAATTCTGGGAGTTGAAGTCCACGTGCCTTAAAATTGTCGAGGTTGAGAAACACTGATTCTAACGCAAATACACAGATCAGTGCCACAAGCGAAAACGGAGGGCTGCCTGCTCTAAAAGAGTTTATTTCTTTGTGTAATAGTTAAAACAGAAATTTGGGTCTGCTGCTTTATGTTGCTGTTCTGAGTGCATTTAATGGGATTTTGGTCTGTGAGTACACATGCTTAAGATTATTCTATTTGGAGATATTGAATCAGATGTATTATGAATATACTATGAAGGAGGGTTCAGAACACTTAAAGTGACTTAAAGGAGCAAGTATTTTGGGGTTGCTGCTTATTGGATGTTTTGATCCCCAAAATAGTTTTCAGTAAATCCTGGCAGTGATGGCTGTTTGCTGTTCTGGTAACAAAATGCCTAGAACAGTGTTTCTCAACCTTGACAGTTTTAAGGCACGTGGACTTCAACTCCCAGAATTCCACAGCCAGCATTGCTGGCTGTGGAATTCTGGGAGTTGAAGTCCACATGCCTTAAAATTGTCAAGGTTGAGAAACACTGGCCTAGAATGTATTGATCAGATAAAACAGTAGAAGTTTGTTACACTATAAGTTTTTTTGTCAGCTTTTGGGATTATTAGTTACAAATAATATAGATGTCACCTCTACAACGAACCTGGCTGAAGCCATCTTGCTTGTTCTAGATTGCCACAAGAATGGGAGGGAGAAGTGGAGGTTTTCTGCTAGTTTAAACAATTCTCTGTCCCATGGGAACCAAGGTCATTTCTACTGGTCGAATTGGAGAGTAGAGCATTCTGTCAGAAAGCCCGCCAAACTATTCTATTGGGAAACGTTAATTGCATAGTAGGGGGGGAGGGAGTTTAACTTTGTAATATTGTAACCCTTTGGAGGGAATTTCAGACTTGGTTTCACTTTTGACCTGCCAATACTATGGAGGTTGATTAGGCATCTGGTGCAGCCCGAGTCAATTAGAACATTTAAGTTAATTTAGGCACCTGTCTTGGGTACTACGATCTTGACAGGGATAGCAAAAGATGGGTTGTCTTTGCCCTCTTCGTCACTGTCATAAGAAGCTGGCATCGGCAGGTGCTCAGGTGGACTTTCTCCTTCTCCCTGGGGAGGAGAAGTGACCCGAATGGCTTGCTCTTGACGAACCCAATTTGATTTCTCCCGTCCAGGTCATGGGTTCCTCTTTGGCTTTGGGGTAGCAGCAGGTGCACTCTTGGCCTGGGGCACAGGGACTGGACAATCTGCAGCACGATGACCTGATTGCCCACACCTGAAACATTTGATCCGAGGTCTGGCAGATGCTCAGAAAAAGCTATGTCATGGTTCCAATAGATGAGACCAGACAAATCAGAACTCCGAGGCTGGAAGTTTCTATTTTAGAAAGACAGAACTGAACCTCAGAGATACCAGCTGAGCTCATTTCAAAAATAAGATTCAAGATTATCAGTACAACTTTTCTCAGCCCAAAGGACTTTGTAATGATGCATAGGGATTACAGTTTTACAATTCTTACTGTCTCTTAGTCACTTGACTACACAAAGATTATGGCATCTAGATAATTATGCTTTAGTGACTATAAGAATTTTCTTTTTTTCCTCAAAAATTGTAATATTAATGTTAATATATAATATGATCTGCATAAAAAAATCTATATCCCAAGCTATCTTTGTTTACATATACAGTAGATAAGCTATGACTCATCGGGTCTTTTCATAAATATTTTCTTGCCAGAATCCTCAATGCCTTACAAAAATGGCAGAGCTTTTAATATAGGGAGATAGTCAGAGATGTATCTGCCTTGAAAATAGTCTATGTCGAATTATATAACACAGTCAAACATCAACAATGGCTTCTAATTTTCCTAGAATCATAGCTATAGAAAAAATAAGCTACATGGAACGCGGTACTTCATATTACTAATATTTGTATTATCAGTTCTGTGAAATGATATGGCCTGAACATATACTGTGCTGTTGTAATCTATTATCATAATTTTTATTCTTTCGTTTCTATGCTACTTCGTAGGTGAAAGAAAACTTGGTACAGTAATTACACCTGATACCTGGAAAGATGGTGCAAGAAACACAACAGGTATTCTCACAAGAACTGCTATTTTTGATCATTTCTCATTTCTTGATCAGGAAAGCATAAAGAAAATGTCAGCGTAAAAAACTCTGCAGATCTTCATGTCAAGCTGTATGTTCCTTATTGTCTCTATAATTATTGCCTCAATAATTCCATTTCTTTTGTCTTTGTTCAGAAAAGCAGTGTTGCTCATAAATGTAGAATTCTGAAAGAACTTCACAATCCACTTATTATTAAGCAATAGGCAATCTAAATCTGGAACTGCCAGTAAGCAGGTTTTCTTTCTAGCATGTGAACATTACAGAGACATTTGTAAATTAATCTTCCTTAAAAATAACTACTAATGCTAAAAACCTTTACAACTTGACAATTGCAGCATGCCTGAAGTTTATATGGTGGAACATAATTTAAAAGACTCAGCATTTCTAGTTGAATCATTGTAACATATTTAGTATTCCAGATGTAGTCAAAAATTGGCTCATTTAAATCAATGAAATCAATTTAAAGACGCAACATAGCAATAGCACTTAGACTTATATACTGCTTCACAGTGCTTTATAGATCTCTCTAAGCAGCTTAGAGAGCCAGAATATTGCCCCTAATAATCTGGGTCCTCATTTTACCGACCTCTGAAGGATGGAAGGCTGAGTCAACCTTGAGCCAGTGAGAATCAAACTGCTAACTGTTGGCAGAATTAGCCTGCAATGCTGCATTTTAACCACTGCGCCACCATGGTTCATAATTATATTTGCATGCATACAGCCAGTAATACAGTATATCCTGGATCCCCAACAATGCTTTGATACTTAATTGAGCTACCCTGGGCAAAAGCAGAAACAGAATTTATATATCTTTGGCCCAGTACATTGCAAGTCCAAGGAAAAAAAAGGCAGACACAGTGGAAATTACAGCATGATGTTGGAATATTTCAAATAAACCCAGACGTTTGACATTATTATCCCTTTCCTACTAGATGAATAGAAACAATTTGGTTTATTAGGTCACATGTTCCTGTCTGATTCTTCCACCTGTCACAGCTATGAATATTAAGAATGTTTTGAAGGGCACTTTAAGCAGTTCATACGTATTGGGGATTTTCAGATGATTGGCAATAAATGCAGCTCATATGTGTAAGGGGGAGGGTATCTTTAACCACTACAATATATTCATATATAATTTAGATCTGCATTAGATTTCTATTGACTTAAGTGCTTGTACAAACACTTAAGAAGTATTGATAGCAATATTACATGTCCTATGATGCAGACACTCTTAAATATATTAGATTAGGGAAATCTGTTGAATATCTTTCCCATAGATACACACAGTCCTGATTTTAGTCAAGTATTTTCTGTTTTGAACTAGTTTTTAAAGGAAGACAACTCACCATGCAGTTCTGTTTTGATCTTTAGCAATATACATTTTCTGTTTTGGCTGTTCAAATTGCTAGAGAGAACAGGAGCTACCACTGAGATTAGCAGGAAAAAAAATCACAGGAATAATAATAATAATAGTAATAATAATAGTAATAATAATAGTAATAATAATAATAGTTGGAAGGGACCTTGGAGGTCATCAACCCTGTGCTCAGGCAGGAAACCCTATACCATTTCAAACAAATGGCTGTCCAATCTCTTCTTTAAAACTTCAAGTGTTGGAGCATTCACCGCTTCTGGAGGCAGGTTGTTCCACTGATTAATTGTTCTAACTGTCAAGAAATTTCTCCTTAGTTCTAGGTTGCTTCTCTCTTTGGTTAGTTTCCATCCATTGCTTCTTGTCTTGCCTTCAGGTGCTTTGGAGAATAGCTTGACTCCCTCTTCTTTGTGGCAACCCCTGAGATATTGGAATACTGCTATCATGTCACCCTTCATCCTTCTCTTTAATAAACTAGACATACCCAATTCCAGCAACCGTTCTTTATATGTTTTAGCCTCCAGTCCCCTGATCATCTTTGTTGCTCTTCTATGTACTCTTTCTAGAGTCTCAACATTTTTTTTACATTGTGGTGACCAAAGCTGGTTGCAGTGTTCCAGGTGTGGCCTTACCAAGGCATTGTAAAGTGGTATTAACACTTCACATGATCTTGATTCTATCCCTCTGTTAATGCAGCCTAACACTGTGTTGGCTTTTTCGGCAGCTGCAGCACACTGCTGACTCATATTTAAGTTTTTGTCAACTAGGACTCCGAGATCCCTCTCACAGTTAATAATATTGAGCAAGGCACCACCTATATTATACCTGTGCATTTGGTTTTTCTTGCCTAAGTGTAGAACCTTACTTTTTTTACCACTGAATTTCATTTTGTTAGATAGCGCCCAATGTTCAAGTCTGTCAATATCCTCCTGTATCTTAAGCCTATCTTCTGGAGTGTTGGCTATTCCTGCCAGCTTGGTGTCGTCTGCAAATGTGATGAGTTCCCCATCTATCCCTTCATCCAAATTATTGATGAAGATGTTGAAGAGCACTGGGCCCAGAACAGAGCCCTGGGGCACCCCGCTACACACTTCCCTCCATGTAGATACAGTTTCATTGAGGACCACACGCTGAGTACAGCCCATCAGCCAGCTACGAATCCATCTGGTGGTGATGCTATCTAACCCACATTTTTCTATCTTATCAAATAGTAGGTTGTAGTCTATTTTATCAAATGCCTTACTGAAGTAAATTATATCCACAGCATTCCTCTTGTCCACTAATTTTGTCACCTGATCAAAGAATGCAATAAGATTTGTCTGGCAGGATCTGTTTTTAACAAACCCATGTTGGCTTTTAGTAATGACTTTGTTTGCCTCTAGGGGTTCGCTGATTCGTTGCTTGATTATCTTTTCCAGAATCTTCCCAGGTATTGAGGTCAGGCTGATAGGTCTGTAGTTTCCTGGATCTATTTTTTTTCCTTTTTTGAAGATGGGAACTACATCACCTCTTTTCCAGTCCTCTAGTAGTTCCCCAGTGCTCCAGGATTTTTGAAAGTTGAGGAAGGAAGATGAATGCAAAATATGTTGTATCCAATGATATGTCACACAGCAGAATCAAAACCAAATTCCCTCAAGTTCATATATATCCTTGAAACTTAGGAGAGAAGATTTATGGTCTTATATGGATGCAGAAGGAAGGCAAAATCCCATTGTATGTGTAGACGTATACCTATGTAGTGTTAGTTAGGTGGTAATAAAAAATAAAAGGGACATAACTAAGATGTAGTTGGGAAAAGTGGCAGAATTTTAGCATTCTCAGAAGGGCTTGTTAAACTGCTCATTTTCATATTTATTGTTGGGTACTCTGGACATTCATTTTTTCTTTTTAATGGCTTCAACTTTAATTTGAAATGGTTTCAACATTATATCTTTTTTATTTATAGAAAGTGGTGGGAGAAAACTAAATGAAAACAAGGCATTGACATCAAAAAAGGCAAGGTAATTAAAAACTTAATTCACTATTCTACATTCTTCTGAATTTTACTCTCTTCCATGTTTCCACATATAGTCACTCCTACTTCCTCCAGCTGAGAGTTGGCATAGAAGCTTCCCCCCCCCCCCATTACATTGTACTTTTAGCACCTATAACTCTTTACCAACATCACTATATCCTGAGAAACATTGGCTAAATTAGTGTTTTTCGAACTTGGCAGTTTTAAGAAGTGTGGACTTCAACTCTCAGAATTCCCTGAAGTCCATCTTACAGTTGCCAAGTTTGAAAAACACTGGGGTAGATCATGGTAATTCTGTAAGGCACTTAACAAGTAAATGAAGGACTGGGAAATTTATCATCCATATGTCATCTGGTCTGATTTACTTTAAGTAGAAGAGAAAAGGTGTAAGACAAAACATGGACACATGGATCATTTATATACATTATGTTGTGCAAATATATAGTGGTAGTTCAAAATGTCAAATTGCATTTTGATAATTCTCTTTGGTCATTTATTAGCTTTCTTGGGGAATTTGTGTCCATCTCTGCCCCATTTACTGCAAATATATAAAAGTAAACAAATTATTTTTATAAACATCTAATTCACTTGTTTTATCTTCTTAGATTTGATCCTTATGGCAAAAACAAATTTGCAATATGCCGGATTTGTAAAAGTTCAGTTCATCAGCCAGGCTCTCATTACTGCCAGGGATGTGCATACAAAAAAGGTGAGCTATTTATTTTAAACCTAGTTTCTTCCCTTTAAAGTGTATTTGGTTACTGAGAAATAAATTGTTATACTGGATGAGCAAAAGTAATTTCAGTACTGCTGTGCTTTTTATTAACAGGTATCTGTGCAATGTGTGGAAAGAAAGTCTTGGATACAAAAAACTACAAGCAAACATCAGTTTAATTATTGTGATTTATTTCTTTTGTAATTGACACTTTGAACTTTGAAGCAATTGCTGGACATCATCATTACTGATAATACGATGAGAAACCTCTAAAGAACTTGCATGGGATAATTGTGCTATTTTATATCTAAGTTTAAATCTGCATTAATGGCTATATTAATTTAGAATAAGACATATTTGTTCACCATAATTTGATTAGTCAGAATCTTCATTTGGAATTTGATAGATACGGTTAGCACCAACTAGGAAAAAAATAAAGTAAAATGAATACATAAGTGCTTAAAGGACATTTAAAATTTCTTTTAGAGAAACTTGAGGGTTAGTTTAATAGTTTAACTTTCTCAGTGACTAAGCTGCTCTTACATTAAGAATAAGAATTGCTGAATACACCAGCAAAACTTTAATAAAATTGGCATGTGATGATTTATAGGGTAAATGAATATTTAAATGTAATACTATGTAAATTTAGCAATTCATCTACACCAATAGGCAATTCTTCAGTTTATTTTTGTTACATGCTTAGAATTGCTTGCAACAAGAGCTTTCAGAGCATCTGGCAAATAACAATATATGAATATTGAATTTCATTATGCTGGATTGGTTGCACATTCTAAATAGTGTACGTCGGTTGATAACTGTGCTTTTACTTAAAATTGGCATTATTTTAAATGTTAACCTTATAGTGGCTTAAGTTTAAAATAGCATTAATATTTCTAAAATATATCTCTAGCTTGATGATGTACAATTAGTGTTCAAGAGAAAGAACGCAGAGTTCCTAATTTGTTGTGCTCATAGTTTGGATTTTATTTTGTGAGTCTCTTGTATGCAGTACCACAATATTCAATAATTAATATGGTGTTTGTGCATTTTTATCAGTGTGTTGCAGAAAACTAGCAAGCTTTTCATTGGAGAGGGAATTATATTGGCCTGTGTTACTATGGTCTACCTGACTGGATAGAGTGATATTGGTTTGATTCTTTTCTACCAATTTGTAGGTGCAATATCAGAATTTTAAAAAAATGATTAGAAAGGGGCAATCAACATAATTCCAGTCATGTTTAATTAATAACTTTTATGAACTTGAAAATTTTATTGTGATATTATTCAGTTTGATTGTTTTGAGGCTCTATCCTAGTGCCGATGTGATTTTTTTTTAATTTTCACAAATGCCAATGGCTCTAGGGTCAATAGAAATGTTACTTTGAGTTGAGTATGTGAAAAATGGACAGCCATATGAATATGCTACTTAACTTTGATCCCTACAACTGAACCATGGGATATAATTGTGGCCTAATCACAATGTGATAAGATATACCTCTACACACACACACACACACACACACACACACACACACACACACACACAAGCTGCATTCAATACCAAACCTATGAGATTCCCCCATCCCCAACCCAATAACTTGTAAGAAAACATTTACAGCAAGCAGAATTGACTCTGAAAGCAATTGGGGGAATAATCAGACAGGAGTCTATAGCCCAGTAAACCAAATTTTTATTTTTACTAACCATATATCAAAGTTAGTATAGCCAGCATGCAAACCTAGTAGGAAGTGATAAACGTTACAAAGATGAGCTCATAAAAAGCATTCCAGTGTCATTTTATTATTTATTTATTTGTATCCCATCTTTATTATTAATTTAAGACATAACTCAAGGTGGAGAACATATCCAACACACTTCCCTTCTCCTATTTACCCGACAGCAGCTACTCTGTAAGGTGGGTTGGGCTGAGAAAGAATGCCTGGTCCAAAGTCATCCAGCTTTAATTTATCCTATGTCTTTTTCCTTTTCCTTGTCTTTGAAATGTAAAAAGCCAAAAGCATGTAAGCTATGGTTCTGCTTTTGGTCAAGGCTGCCCAGCTGGGTGATGAGCCCAGTGTACATTGGTTGATTGTTTTTATACTAATAAATTTATGTCGTATCTTCAGTGTGATTTGGTTACTTTAAGGGAGCCTGTTTTTGGCCACAACACCTATACAAATTATTTATTAGGGTTAACATGGACTTCAATAAAACATAATATTTACCCCTCTTTCAAAAGGCATCTATGGGCATCTCTGTCAAAATTGAACAGCCCTCTCTCAACAGAGGGGGAGAGATCCAACATTATCTCCAGTCTACAACAGTCCTTTCAACAGTTCCAACAAGGCTCCACACCCATTTGCACTACTCAGGTGACCCTGAAGACACGGATAAGCCTCTAGGTAGCTTTAATGACTCGCTAAAAGAATGCAAATCTGTCTGCAGGAGTATAAATCTTTCCATTCCCCACCATCCAGTCAGAGCTGAAGAAGCTTCTTGGATGAGAAGTGAAACGTCTTCAAAGAAAAACAAAGTCCAGCTGCCTCATGAAAAAGCATCTTTGGGTTAATTATGACCTGGATGACTGAGAATCTCCATAGACATTTAGCCATCCTTTCTTTTGTTTTGAGCATAGTTATTTTGCCCTTATTTTTAATATGTTACAATAGAATGGGGTTGGGATACTAGATTGGTTTTATATAATTGAAAATATATGAATGTCATGTATGCATTTTCCTTATATTTTGAAAATCGCTGGCTCTGTTGTGCATTCATTTTGAACAAACAGCTTACCTTGAGTGTTAAGCAGCTTCATCTTCTAATATTGTGAATTCAGCAACCAAAAAGGGAATATTCATTTTGGGAAAAATAGGTTGCTTTTCCAGCTATGATATACAGAGCTTATTATTATATGCACATATAATGTAACTATTGTTTTATTCCTCTGACGTAAGCAATATTGTGCAAATCACAGAAAAGACGTAAGAAGTAATAATTTAAAAAAAATGAAAGGAAAGGAATGTGCCAGATCTAGTTCACATCAATCCCAGGTACCAGGGTTTTTTTTGAAAATGCGTTCTCTAAGATCTTGATGGGGTTCTATGAGATTAAGAGCCAAATAAATTTCAGTTGAATATAGCCACGTTTCTATCACAAAAGTGTTGCTCCTTGATCAGGGATGTTGAGATTTTTAAAATTAAATTACAGGCCATATGGCCTGAAAAAGTTTGAAGACCTACATTATGCCACTCCAGACTCTTCTGTTCTTGGAAACTATTTTTGTTTTTACAATATTATTTTTTCAATTTCATATCACACTGCCTTGAAATTTCTCACTTGCTTTACAGGATCTTATCAACTTCATCCAATCACATTTTTCTTATTTTCCCTTTCCTCTTAACTTATTAGTTTTATGTTCGTTTTGTAATTTAATCCTTATTCAATTTCCTTATGATAAAAGCATTTCAACATACCAATATCTTTGTATTCAGTCCACCTTGTATACAGTCACAAAGGTGAATGTCTACCTTTCTCATTCTATTCAACTTATATAATGTTGATATGATATATCCAGGTTTTGCTTCCATATAAAAAGAGATGAAAGCATGTCCTGGTGCTACTATGTTTATTTCTTTACACAAAGTTTATTTCTTATAACAGATCACATACTTCTCACTATTTTTCTTCCAGCATTTACATTTTTAAAATGGCTCCATCCATTTCTTCATTGTTAGTAAACACTGTATTAAGAAACAAATTCCTATACTTTATGCAATAGTTCATTCCTGGTCAAAATAACCTTAGTCTTGGTATTTGATTGTTCCACTTCTTCTTTACCTTCTGCGTTGTTAGTTCTTTAGTTGTAGTCAGAATTTGGGTTTGTATATCTAAGCTGGCATCTTGTTCTTTTCTGTAACATCTTATTTTGTCACAAGCTGAAAGAATAGTTTCATGTATTGCTTTCAACATGGAAAGAATCTTCCTGGTCCTCATCCATCTCTTTAACTTGTTTATAAATAATCTTTATAGTAAAAGTCATTTGTTAAGCAAGATTTTATAGTCCAAGGTATTTCATGGTAGTAACCAATATTCCTCAAAGAGATAGGAAGGCAATTCCCCACATATAATTCTGAAAGTCAGTAAAAGTTTACATTCACAGTTCAAGTAGGCCAGTTATGCTGCCCAGCTGTTCTCTTACAGCTGAGTTTCTCGCAGGTGGTGCCAAGGCCAGAAGAGTCTTATCTAAGATCTGGGCTTTGAACCAAGTCTCTTTTAGGAAATAACAAGTTGTAATACCAAACTTTGCTATAAGATGTCACCGATGCCGTTTAAAGTTTTTTAAGTCCAAAATTTGTATAATCCTTTTTCCAATTTTATTTTATTCTTTTTGTAGATAAAAGCAAAAGTCTTCAGTAAAAATAGGAAAAATTTTGGTCCCTAAGTTTCAGGAACATATAAATCCAATTAGATTAAAGATATTCTTTTAGTGCTTTAATTCCCCTGAGTAGAGGGTGGGATAGAAATTCCTTCTCTCCTCACAGGGGGAAAAATACTTTGGGCAGCTTTTACAGGGAAAAAAAAATACTTAGGGTAAAGAGAAGATTGAATCTCACCCAGTCTCATCCGCGCTGCTTTGGAAATGCCTGGTGGTAAGTTTGACTTCGGCTGTGACAGGCCATATTGCTCTGGCCGATCTTTCCTCCGCCGGTTTGGAGGGCTACCCTGGATCAAGCGGAAGGGCTGCCGCCCTCCTGTGATCAAATGGGGGTCCCCTCCTTGCTCATCGCCCCTACATGGTTACTTTCGACCCTTTTCAGGGTCCCCCAGCAGAGCAAAACCGAAGGTGGAAGACGGCGCTCATCTTCCAGCATCCGCGGCAGCTGCAATGGCAAGCCAGAAGTCTCCAGACCTATATTTTTAAAAGCCATTGAGTCCGCAAGGAGAAGGGCGGGATATAAATTCGAACAATAAATAAATAAACAATAAATAAATAAAGGAAATATTACAGGTGCAGAGTGGTATCAAAGTTCTATCTGCCATATGTCACAGTCTGGTAATTCAGAGGCTTCTTTGCAGACTAACTTGTTTAGTCTGTATAAATTGTACAGAAACATCCTGCAATAAAATAGCACTTAACTGATTTGATCTTATGCTAGTTTAATGTAATTATATTATAATACAGCTAAAAATAAGAGCCAAAGAAACAGCAATATGTGATGAGATTTTTATCATTTGAATACAATGGCACTGGTTAATAAACTATTTTTAAAGATGACAAATCAAGCAGAAATGTAAAAGGTTTTGTATTACAAACATTTTATACATGCAGAATATGACCTAAATAAAGTAGTTTTGTGCATTTTAGCATCACTTTGACGCAATCATATTAATAAAACTTTTAAAGAACTTGGTAGCTAACAGGAAAAAAAAGAGGGCCTCACATTTATGAATAGGACAAATGTTTCTGCTGCTAACATGGAGTTCCCAGTGTGTGGCTGTGCAGGCAGACACTCTAAAAAAATCATAACACAGTAGCCCTTTTCCCCTCTAGTGAGTAAATTGTAAAAATATAATTATATATTGGGTGCCCTCCCTTTCCCACAGACAACACAGTTTTGTATTTACGAAATGTCAACATTTTCTGCATCTTCAAGTTATTGGAGTCTATATGGCACATTTCAAGTTGTATGACAGTTTTTCTGCGGACAATACAGTAATGTTTACAGTACTTTATAGCATAAAGATCCAAAGGTCAAAATGGGATAACAAAAATCCTTACTATTTCTGTTCCTATTGATATTTTTTTTAATTCCATTATGCAAAAAGTAATTGCAGTTAAAAACTTTTCAAACCAAAAATCAATATTCAGCACCTCTATGTCCTCTAAGACATACAGTATAACATATTTCCTTCTGCCTGTTCTCAGCAAAAGACTATATATTAGCACAATCTGCTTCCCAAACATATCTCCTAGATTACAGTACTCAGGATTGCTAACCATTAGTCATTCTGAGCACAGCAGCATAGCAGATATCTTAGTTTCAACCCTGAAGGAATACCCTTCCCAACACTTGTTCAATAACATGTGAGAGGATGCTGTTGGATTCATGTTCCGCTGATGGCCTCTACTGATATATTTGGATGGCTACTGTCAGAAAGAAAAGCTGGACCAGACAATTTTTTTAATCTGATCCGGTCTGACATTCATAAATACTGTAGCTCTACAACATTTGAAAAATTGAATTTCACTTGAATGAATGAATTGGTGACTTAGTGATCAAAGTTTGTACTGACAACATAGCATAACTCAAAATATGTCTTGGTAGATTCAAAAGAATTTTTTAAAGGTGCTGCAGTCATTCCCTCTTTCTACAATTCTTAACATCCTTCTCCTATAATTCCCAAGGTTTCTTAATCCTAAATCAGTAGCTTAAGCTGCTAATAAAAAAAAATCTTACTGAAAGGCAGATGTATTCTTTTGACATCAATAAGGGATGCCAGTATAAATGATCAATCTCTCATTTTAAAAATTATACATTTATTTAGATTCCCATACACTCCTTTTCCACAAGCCTGGCCTCTAAACTGGAACATTAAACCTAGAACAAATGCATAGTCTGAAGTTCCAGGACAAGCCTACCTTTAAAACCTTCATATAGAGAAGACTATAAATAATAGCTAATTGTCTAGGTCGGTCAAAATATGTGGAACTGTGAATAGAAGAAAGCACAATGTAAATCAGCTGCCTTGAATTAGACCAAGGATCTGCCTTATCCATCAGTATTTATAGAAGCAATTTAGCATTGGAACAATATATATAACAACTGGGATCCTAACACCCATCAGTATTGACCAATCAGGCTGAGAGTAGATATAGTCAGTATATCTGGAAGTCACCAAGATGAGGAAGGCTGGTATCTAGGAAGTTGCCTTACCCAAGGCAGCTTATTATTCATCTAGTCCAGGGGTAGTCAACCTTGGCTCTTTTATGACTCGTGGACTTCAACTCCCAGAATTCCTGAGCCAGCTAAGCTGGGAATTGAAGTCCATGAGTCATAAAAGAGCCAAGGTTGACTACCTCTGATCTAGCCAAATACACCTTTTCAGTCTCAAACAGAGAAAATGCTTCTTGCCTAATATCTGATATTTACACTGAACATGTTGCAGTTGGGATGATTTACTTACAAAAAAAAATGTTTTTCCCTGCTCTCTTTTTCATATTTGAAGTCATTATATCAAGGTCGTAAGCCAGAGGCCTTTTTCAATCAGCCCTATCATAGTGAGGAAATGGACTGATGATCTAATATATATAAAGTTTTACCAGGCATAGATGTAAATCTCAGCAATCCAAACACTCGCCCTTTTTTGGAAACTTGGCATGATTAATCTTTTTATTAAGGAAAAAATAAAACCATGTATTGTGCAGCACACATGAAATAAATCCCTTGCATAAGTCAATATTCTAAGGTTTAAGTTCTAGGCTTTTTCCTCCCACCTCAATGGGTATTTGTTTTTGTTTTGTTTTAATAGACTTGGAAGACACCATATTAACACATGGTTCTGTTTAGTCAGGAAAACACTGGGTCCTTCCTAATCAGTTTCATTCTTTGCACCAAATATGAAATAATAGCTTTTCTTTTTTAACTAGACTTTAGTATACCATACCTCTTTCTAGATTATAATTGCCAAGAATAAACATCTTGCCTTTGATCCCTAGAAGGTGGAACTTGTTAGGACATCTTGTGGTTTTCTCTAAAAAAGGAAGTAGCAACGACTGCAAGCTAGAGGTAGCTCTGTGAAACTTAAGGAATTATAACAACAGAGAAATGCCCTGCATGAGACTTACATTTTTTAGCTTTACTATTTTGCAATCATCATTTATTTTTCTCTCTATGGCTTTGTTTGCAGAATGACATACCTGGAGCCATAGGTCTCCAAACTTTTAAAGAGTACCAAAACCAGCCTTCCCCAATTTAGTATCCTCCAGTTGTTTGAACTAATTCCCTTAAATCCTAAAACAATATGGGATTTAAAGTCTAGTATCTCTGATGGGCTTCGGGTTGGGAAAGTAAATGTTATATATCATTTTCATTTGGGAAGCGGGATATGTCTCTTACTTTATGCAAGGAGATCTGTGTGATCACGTCATATATGCTGCCATATGAATAAAACCAATTTATTGATATAATATTTCAACACAATTCTTGAGTGTCTTTCCTCAAACTTATACACCTCAGAAGTGCTAAGACTGCCATTCCCAATTGGGAGCCAATTGTAGAAGGCTATTAAGGGTGTTATGCAAAAATGGGAACAAAGCTGTGGTGCAATTATGAACTCTGTTTTCTCGTTTTTAAATTACACAGCTTCTAAAACAATGGCTCACATAAGGCAATTATAATCATCAATTGTGTATGCTTTAAATCACTGATATAACCGCAAGCTGCTGCTGTTTTAATTCTTGATCAAGGCAAGAAATTCCTCCCTTGTTTTTGAATCTTCTCGGAGGATGCCGAGCATAGTGCTAGTGACTGTTGTGCTGCTCATTTTCTGAACCCCCCTCATGATCATGCACATGTGTCTGTCAAAAAAATGTTAAAAGAAACATTTTCAGAACATAACCAAATACTATGGGTGCAACAGCATTCAAATTATAAATACAATCTGATTTAAAATAATAATAAAACCAACAACAAAATTAAATATAAATTCTAGTATTACATTATTCCAGAATGTAGAAGCATGCATTTAGTTTAATAATCTTCCTAACAGAAAATGTTTTTTAAAAATCCACATATTCTAGGACAGTGGTGGCGAACCTATGGCACGGGTGCCACTTGGAGCTCTCTCTGTGGGCACATGTGCCGTTGCCCCAGCCTTGCCTCCTCTGCGACCCCCTCTCTCCAGCAGCCCCCCTGAAGGAGAGTCACCCCGAGCGTGGCCCACACGGAGCAGCGCAGCCAAGGACATGGCAGCCATGCAGCGTAGACAAGACTCTTCCCTCACACCCCATCATGCAGTTGATGCTGCAGGGCGTGGGCAGAGGGTGTGGCCTCCATAGCGTTGCTGGGCTGCCTGGGCGATCTGCGGCGGGCCCTGGAGGTGGTGATTGGTCCTGTGGACAGGCGGGGCGGGGGATGGGGGGGCAGAGCAGGGGTGGGGGGATGGAGCAGGGGCCAGTTTTTGGGCACTCGGTCTCTAAAAGGTTCGCCATCACTGTCCTAGGAAATCTACAGTATCTCAATGACACTACAGTTCATATGTAGGACTACTTAAAAACAAAATTGAGTTTGATAGAATTCAATGGAAGCCATTTATAGATGACTTATTTTCTTATCATCAGATATAATAATAAAGAAGGATAATTTCTCTCAATACTCTTATTTTCATAGTAGAAGCCTATTCTGGATCAAAGTGTTTCCTTCAGAAGGATCACCAGATGAAGCAAAATCAATTGTGAAAATGTTGAGATTTGCAGTTCAGGAACATGTGGATTGCATGGTAATACCAGGCTACACACTCATTGAATACACATAGTGTTCCACAAGTAAATATATTTCTACTTTTGTGCTTTTAAAGTACTATTGCATTATTTTTCAACAGTAATGAAAAAGAAATGGAAAGGAGAATAAATAATTGACAGCAGAGGGAAAGAATTACAAATTCAACTAAACCGAATAAGGAATGATGAACTTACGAAGCTTCTATCACCACAGCCACTCCAACAGGTTTCAGAACTTCAGTAATTGCTAAAGCAATCTGTTTTGTAAGTCGCTCCTGGACTAGAAAAACAATTAGTGCTTTATGAAAAATTATCTTAGTCAGAATGAATTGACAAAGTAAATGCAAAATTGTTCTTTAAGGATAAGACACAAAAGTTTCTTCATAAATAATTTTAATCCAATAAAAGAAAGATCTTTGAAGGAAGGGAGAGACTTCCCTTCTTGCACATTTTGTGGGTGGAAACAAAACTCATCTATTTCAGTTGCTATTATAAATTTTGAGTTTTTAAATAAAATAATTATTGATTTAAACTTATATGATCTCCCATTGTATGGCACATATATCTGGGTAGCTAACAATAGTAAAACACAAGCAATAAAATCAATACAAAAAAATAAAAATCCCTGGAACCTTTGCCATGGGCTAGCACAAGTTTATGTCCTGCCTAGGTTATTTGTTTTTGGAATGAAAATTGAATTCTCAGTTTCTTTGCACACAGATCAACTTCTGGATTTTACATTGCAATGAACAAGGACACACATACAATTTTGCAGCTACTAAGATTGTTGGCCAAGCAGACATAAAAACAGCCAGAAAGCAATTGAAGCCTGGGAAACAGGCCCCTAGTCAATTAACAGGAGTGCTGATTTACCACCAGCCTATCAAGTACTTAGAAGGTGAGGGCTGGGCAGCACAGGCAAACAATAGCTAATGACTTAAAAGCCAGCCATCAACACACCCCAATCAACATCGAAAAAGCCACATACAACAGCCACTATAAATACCATACATAGAACAGCACACATGCTGCTAGAGAGAAATTCCCTCAAGATGGGCTCCAGTCCGAAAGCCGAAATATCTGGTCCCAGTGATCCACCAAGATGGAACCTGCAACATTATCCTGGGACATGTATATTTGCCTTCATTCTGGATTTCCCTCCAAATAAGCTAATTGCAGAATGAAGCCTTTCTCCTGGTCAAGTAAATTTGATACTTTCCAGAGAAATATCAGTGGATCCTGTTTTATGAATTGAAAAATTTATTAAGCAGTGCACAGCGCCAGAAAAAGTACTAACCTTGGAGCCTTCGGCTAAACATTTCAACAATTCTGGAAAAAAGGGGGAAAGGATACACTAATGAGAGAGGAAGATGGCATTGATGGACATGTAAATCAGAAAGTGACTAAGTTTGTTTATAATTGATCTCAGACAATAGTCATCAAACTTTTTTTTACCTCAGTGATATCCCAGTGTGAAATAGATATAGATATATAGAGATAGATGGATGGATGGATGGATGGATGGACGGACGGACGGACGGACGGACGGATGGACGGACAGACAGACAGACAGACAGACAGATAGATATAGAATATCTATCTCCAACCATGTTTTTGACTGCAGTTTAATATTTTTCCTAATCTCTGCCAGCTCATAGCTGCAATTTCAATGCTAAAATTCCCTGTCATGACACTATAGCTCATTTCAGGCATTTGCCTGAATGAATGAGTATTTGAAAACCAGTCAAGAATAAGGCTGTGCACATAGCTATACCTATTTCTCTCACATACGCCTAATGTTCTACAGGAAGTATGAAGGATTGTAGTATCCTACCTGTAGAACCTTAAAACAAGTTATTATCCATGTGAGTTCCATATAACAAGGTTTAGAATCAGAAAGACGTATTGATATTCAAGTAACCAATAGAAGAGAATATTTGTAGCTCAAAATTGAACTGTGGGGTCCTTGATGCTCTCTGAGCTTGGTAATGAAATATCTGCAAGAAAACAACCAAGCTCAGAGAGCACCATGGACCCCAAATTCAAGTAATACAAGTACTATTCTACTTTGGTCTCCCAAACAATGTATGCAGGTTTCTATCCATTTTTGAAATCTTCACACATTCAGGCAAGTGTTTATACAGGATTTCATCATTGTGCTATTCTGGTTTCTAGAAAGATGAACTCACAAAAGGTCTTGCACCATTAAATAGCTGTGATGCAATTGCATGACTATCATCTATTATCTGTGACAGTGCATTTAAAAGTTGTGTATGATGAAATATTATGTGATGTACAGTATTTCTCCCCAACATCTACCCTCATTTACCTTTAGATATGACAGTTGTTTATTTCAAACAACTGTCAAATCTTATAGCTATTCTCTATAAGGAAAATCAGACACACTCATATGGTAATCTAAGCTATCGTTACTGTTGCCTTACTGAATCCATAACATAAAATAGTGATTTATTACTCAGAAGAACAGTAATAAATACCTTGCAAGTTTACTTAATCCAACTACTTTCTTCCTTGGTAAATATCCAATGTGTACCTGCAGATATTAAAGGAAGATGAAGAATTATTAATGTATACATTCATATTCAATCCAGGACTGCCTCTACTTCACGCTTTTTTCAGTTGAACTTAGAAATCAGTTTTCCACTCACATTTATTATTATATTCAACATTCAATTTCTCAGCATTGCAGTGAGGAAGCTGAATATGCACTATAACTGCCCAACTCGGCTGAAGTCAGCTCCCTGTTAATTTCATTTGGGGAAAAAAATGCTGCTGATACTGCTGTAAAAAATTAGTCAAATTGATTATTATTCAGTTATTCTGCAAGGCATCTTACAATTAGCAACAAATTTGTTCCACTGGTTATATAGTTCAAGATTATGGACACTAGAATTCAAAATAAATCTATGTTTCCACTGTCATTACCTTGCCAAAGAAAGGAACCAAGTGATGTTCACAAAGAGAAAACATATCAATGCCTTTTACGATAACCATCTCATCATGATCTTCATCAAAGACAGCATCATTGAGTATCTCTGGAAAAAAACAAAAAAGAAATGGAAGATCTCTCAATCTAATTTTATCCTTTACTACAGAATAACTAAACAAATAAACTACCCAATAGCAATCTATAGAATCTATAGCCCTATAGATTCTTTACAAACTATTTTTCTTGTTCCTATCAACACTTTATGTGGGCACTTAATTCATATATAAACTTCATTTTTTCTCACTTATTTGCTTTATCAATTTTTTCCCGATTCCCTGGCTGGTTAAAGTATAAACTGGCATCACGACTTGATTCTATATGCAACAAAATTTGAATACGATTTCTATACTTTTCTGGGCCTGATAAAAAAAAATACATCCATGAATCTTTATTTCTGCTATTGACACCAGTAGTTTTAATATTTATTTGAGGGATTGTTATGAAGTTACATTACAGCAGAGGTCCCCAACCTTTTGGACACCAGAGATCGATTCTGTGGAGAGGTTTTTCCACGGACTGGAGGGTACATGGTTTTGTGTGCTGCCTGCATCCCACGGATGAGGCTTTGCTTGTTTGTGTGGACCGGTTGCTGGCATGCCGCGGGCCTGGTATTGGTCCACAAACTGGGGGTTGGGGCCCCCCGCATTACATGGAAGTTAAGCTAATTATAGGCTATTTAGAATTTTTAAATAATTTTAACCAAATTATTTGGTTCTCCAGGATTCTTAATTATATTTTCCACTTGACTTACCAATGAAACTGAAAATATTATTCCCTTAAATGAAATTTGTATTTTCCTGGCCATTATAGTTTTTGAGATCATATAAACTAGTCTTGAAGTGTTTACCCCACTTATGTTTTGTACATGTATGATTACTGGAAGCAGAATGTACAGAGTAGTTGCTTTTAATAATTCGTGAACACACAATTATTAATATTCTTTGGGTTTTTTATTTTCCAGAATAGGCAATTCTAATGCATTTGTTTTATTTCCATTATTGCAGCACTCCCTAGTATCTGACAAATCAGCAGTAAGCAAAGCCAATTTTAAAAATCATGTGAAAGTGTTCAAGTGGTACAAGTAAAAAAGTGCTTTATTTTATTTATATACTTCCATTTTGGTACAGCCTGACTCTATACAATTCAGGGCTGTTCACAATATAAAAACAAACGCAATAAGATGAATTTAAAAACACAATGTGGAAAATAAATTAAATGACAAATTTGAACTGCTAGAGTCAAGCATACTTAATGAATGCCCTACACTTTTCCTAGAATGACATCAGAATCGGAGCCATCTAGCTCTCATGAAGGACCTCATTCTAGAGCACAGGCTGGAATAATTGCATTTTTGCAATTATTGAAAAATAATTGAAAAACATTACAGAAATATACAAACCAGTATATTGATATTTTTTATGAAATTGTGTTTTGAGTTAGGAGGCATGTTTTATAACAAGTCAGACAACTGAAGTTGTTCCCTGTTGTGGAATGAAAAAATTAAAAACAATATACATTTATGATTTTGCGAGGATATTATATTATCTTATATGATAATAGTCAAGATGTATCAAATCAGCCATATTTCAGTTTTTCTAGTTCGTTACATGGTACAGTATATGGCATGATATTCTTCTTAAAACAGAGTTCCCCAACCTTTCGGCATTGGCAGCCTGAAGTGGGGGGAGGAGGGAAAGAGGGGAATGGTTTTGTGGGAGGGGTAAATGCATGCGCACACACAAACACCCGCTGCTCATGCAAGTGGGGCTGCAAATGCCTGCAACACTCGTGGCAATGCTCGCTGAGTGGGGCTGTGCACACACACACTGGCCAGCCACTCATGTGGCCTGGTGGCCAATAGGCCACAGCCTGGTAGTGGGCCACGGCCCACAGGTTGGGGACCCCTGGGTTAAAATGTAAGCTTGTAGTGTAAAGTGTTTATCACATTTATCAAACAGGAAAACCCACCACTAAAAAAAATGCCAGCAAATTCAAGAGACAATTTTCTAGATGTCTACTCAGATGTTCTGTTATCAGAATGCTTATTTCTGTACAGATCTGCTGTACAGAGCTCTAGCAGAGGTGAGCGCTGGGAAGAACGACTATAAAGCAGCCTATGAACCAGAGTGGGTATATGAACTACAGTAGGTGGAAATCTAGGAGTCCATCAGAGCAGGTGGAAGCCATGAGCTAGGAGGAACATGCCTAGCTCTGCCTGGTGCACCATGCAGCCATTCATAGAAAAGAATGCGGTAAAGACAGACATGGATGCTATTTCTCAACTGGTGTACTGTGATCTGTTCTACATGAGCTGTCCTTGAAAGCCTCCTGCAAACTTCAAATGGTGCAAAATGCAATGGCCTATGTGTTTACAAGTCAGACCCTTTACTGTCATATAATTCCATTACTATGGAAAATGTACTGGCTATCAGTTAATCTCCAAATGCAATTCAAGACAGAGACTGGCTATGCTGGGTAGAACCCAATATGCATAAAAAGATAAGTGAGGGTAACCCACTTATTAACATGTTTGGCAGGAGGGAGAATGCAAGTGGATGACCCCCTCCTATGGAATAGCTTGCATCTGAAAGCAAATGGCCCTTCTCTTGCAGCAGGGCTTTTCAACCAGTGGTACGGGTACCACCTGTGGTAGATTGGCACCTGGCAGGTGGTACGCGACCATCCTAGAAAAGTGGTAGCAGGGGAGGGGAATGAGCTGAACCGGTGGCAGCACCGCACAAGCCTGAGCGGGAGATGGCTGGAGCTGCAGGGCTGTCAGGGCTCAGCGGAAGCTCCAGGATCAGCGCCAGGATGCAGCTGGAGCTCGGCACTGATCCTGGTGCTTCTGCTGAGCCCTGAAGAAGCACCAATCAGCTGGAATGTTGCAGCATCTCCAGGGTCTTGTGATTTACATTCAGATGCTTGGCAACTGATTCATATTTATGACGGCCACAGTGTCCCAGGGTCATGTGAAGCGACCAAAACTTGCTGCAACCACCCAGCAGACGGGGGGAATAAAAACCAAACACCCCCGCTGCCAATCCTCAACAGAAATGCTCACAACAATGAAAACCTCAGACAGGAGGAAGAGCGCCACCAGGCGGGCAGGCAGGTGTCTTGCTTGGCTGTGGCTTGCGGGGCACTTTTTTCAGTGCCATTGTAACTTCAAACAGTCATTAAGCGAACTGTTGTAAGTCGAGGACTACCTGTACTTTATCACTTTTTTCCTTTTTTTTTTTTTTTTGGTTATCAAGTTTTTGACACCTTGCTAGGCGACTGGTGGTACTCGGATGTTGCCATATCCTAAAAGTGGTACAATGGGTGAAAAGGTTGAAAAGCCCTGTCTTACAGCCTTCCAAAAACTTGTTAAGACATGATTAATTCAGAAGACCTTTGGACATTAGCCTGATACAAGATTTTGTTATAAGAAACAGGCAGCATCTTAATATTGAATCAGCATACTAGAATTACTTATTGTTATTGTTTATGCTTATTAGTTTATTATATATTGTATGCCAGTATTTTGAATGTAAACTGTTTAGAAGTGAGTCAAATGAAGTAATAAGAAAGTTCCACAATAAAGGAAAAGGAACACTGGCAATGTTTGATGACTTTTACCCATCATCAACCTGAGCCTGGGATTTTGAATTATTGCCAAAAAGACCTATAGGGAAATTATACATCATCAGGAGATTTCTATTTAGTTATATCTAACAAAATTAATAATTTCTTAAACTACAATAGCTACCTTATAAAGTTTAAATGACAAATCATCAGGCCCACACTGAAGGAGTAATGTACTAAGCACAGAACAGAAAACTATAGAACACAGCTTACTATCATCTGTAAGTCCGAACTAAAATCATTCAAGTACATCATAAATGATCTTCAGCCATTCCTGTTATGTCCATGTATTTGCTTACAGGCACCTGCCTGATCTAAAACAGCTATTAACCACCAACAATACCATTTCACACTGATAAAGATGCAGGAAACAAATGATGTGGTGAATCCACATCCAAACTCTGCCTCCTACCTATTCTGATAATATTAGCAATAGCAGTAGCACATATACCGCTTCATAGTGCTTTACACAGCCCTCTCTAAGCGGTTTACAGAGTCAGCATATTGGCTCCATTACTACAATTATTAACTATATCCCTAGCATCAGAGGCACATTGACCCGTTCATCCTTCTGCATGCTATATGCAATCATCTGTAAGTAATAACTCACTGTTATTGATTGGACATCTAATCTCTACATAAAAGAATGAATGGATATAAATTTGTCATTGGGAATGGCAATCATCAAAAATCAATGTGTACACTGCCATTCTCCAGGATACTCTGCTGTTAACCTCAAGGTAAAAATTAATGAGAAAAGGAATAATGATTTCAGCATCAAACAGCACAGTTAGAATTGATTAGAAGATGTAACACTACTTCTCAAGGACTGAACAAAGATTATTGTCTCATAAATGCTAACTAGCTGCTTCATGAAAGAATATCTGTGCTATACCCAACTGCTGCTTTGTGGTCATTAAAGATAATCTTTACTGTTTTCTTTTTCATATGACTCTCTCCTTATCCGATTCTCTTCTTTCCAACAACAGCAGGAGGCGGAAAACACTATTTTTGATGGAAAGCAAGAAAACTCAGGAGAGATAATCTCTCCATCAACCTAGGGTTTGGCTAGGATATTGTCCATTCTGCCTTCTCAGAATGATCGATGGCCAGTTTTTGTACAATAAGCAGGAAATGTAAATCAGCCCATATAAATGCCCAGATAAATTTCAGATACAACTAAAATTACTCAAGTCTCCAACCACTTACATAGCATTATGGTGAGGCAGTCATTTACCAAGAAAGACTGAGGTTGCATGCTTACATACGTTGATTGGATTCACAAATTGCACAAAGTTATAATGCAGCTTGTTTGCCTGTAACTTGAATGAATCCAGCCAAATAGGATCAATTCAGCAAACCATGCTTAAGCAAATTATAATTTAGAAGGATGTGCAAACCTAGCCACTTTTCTGGGAACTAAAACTTTTTGATGATTGTATGGCTTATGAATAAGAAGAGACCTACCCAGCAATGCATGTGAAGTGATTGCTGTATTTCACTACACAAATCCTACTTGTTCTATCTTATTTGGGCACAGTATATAGTTGTCTTGTGTCTTATGAAATGAATACTTTGATCTAATGTCATTCTAAAAAATCATTAGCTATCTTGTTTTCTAGTCTGTCTTACTTATGAAGAGTTAGCTGTTTCTTGGCTGGCACCTTATGCAGACACTTTTATATGAGATGCACCATTTATACTATATATGTTTATTTTTGATGGGTGGGATTAGGAAAGCATCAACCTTAACCATGCTGTTGCTTAGTTAAATGCCATTTCAAACCATGGGATAGTGGGTTTTACATTTTGTATTTCATCTAATTCACATTTGTGTTGAAAGAGTTGGAGGATTAGGATCTAGAACTGCCAGCCTCAATTTTTAACCTGAACACTTTCAAGAGTGCTTCTAGAAGCCATCCTGCTAAAAGCACTTTGCCTTCATTCTGCCCGAAAAGGGCACTTTAAAACTCCTGTTTTGAGTAGAGATGGAATGGAGATTAGGACTATTTAGACCAGTGTTTCTCAACCTTGACCATTTTAAGGCATGTGGACTTCAACTCCCAGAATTCCACAGCCAGCATTGCTGGCTGTGGAATTCTGGGAGTTGAAGTCCACATGCCTTAAAATGGTCAAGGTTGAGAAACACTGAGTTAGACGTCCCTTGGAAGGAACCGAAACCCGCTTTCGGATAACGGATTGAAAGTGGCCTGCTTCCCTAAAACAGGAAAGGGAACTCGTGGCCCGAAGGAGACTCACCTTCGACGGATTCGTAGTAGCCCTTGGTGAGAAACTGCATGGCTTTAGCCGCCCTCCGAGGCGTCAGCAACAGCCCTTGCCTACCCGGGTTCTCGCCCAAACCCTGTAGGATGGTGCCGTAGGCGGCCTCCAGAACCGGGAGTCGCTCTATTTCTTCCGCTTCTCGGGCGCAGTGGCCCTTCTCGTCCACCGCCGGATGCTGCAACTTCAGAGACGTTCTCCGCATCTGGCCGCCGCTCTGCACATCGAAGAGGCAACTGGGATCCAAGTCCCCGTTTTGGTAGCCCTGCAGGTTCAGCTGGAGCGGTTCCATGGCCCGGCGCTCGCGGCGGACGCGTGGCTGGGAGCGAGGCGCGAAAAAGAGCTGAGACAGCGAGCAGCCGTTTGGGGCTGTTTCGGGGTTTGCCACAGCAGGTGCCGGTCGGGGGTGGCGAGCGAGCGGTCTAGGGCAGGTGAAGCCGGTCGCTCGGCGCTTCGGCGGCAGAGGGAGCAGATTCAGAAGGGCTGCAATGGGGGGTTTGGCGTGAGCTTTGAGAAGGGAAGGCCGCGTCTCTCTTTCTCTCTGCTCTCCGCTCAGGCTGGGGCGACTGAGCCCGGGGCTTCTGGTATTTATTGCGCCCCTCGGCCTTGTTGATCAGCTCTTCTCCGTCAGAGGAGGTCATCTTGAGACTGTCAGCTGGGCGAGATCCACTGAAGCGCCCTTTGTCACCTGGCGTCCCCCCCTCTATCCCTGCTTGCTCTAATCGGAGGAAGCAAGCGTAGGTCACGAATATTAGTCACGCTGTACACGCGGATAAACACACGCAACCTTTCGCCTTTACAGACCAGTGAGACAGCCAAACAGTCTCTCCACCACCACCACACACACACCCCCCCTCGTCTTCACAACAGCTCTTCCCTCTCGAGGTTTTATTCCCATTTCTTAGCTCCAACGTGCTGACTGCTCGGCCTGCAATGGCGGTCGGCTGCAGAGCAATAATTCACGTTGTACACTGGTGTGGGAAGTTAACCCAGAGAAGGAAATATTAAAAAGGCAGAAAAAAAATATTGTTCACCAAAAGGATTTTTAAAAGCATTTTTTTTGAAAAGCAGAAACCAAACCTGGCCTCATCTCCTTGCCCAGGGCAGTAGCTGGTCTTATACATATGCAGATGTGGAACCATCAGAAAGTTTGGAGCCAGGGATCTCAAGACAAAAGAAGCTCTTAAGAGTCATTAGCCCCATCACCTGGGAAGCAGNCAAAGTTCACGCCACAGGAACAGGAAACTTCCAGGCAGGGCTAGAGGGTATAAAAAGACCATCTGCCCATGTGCTCACTCTCTTTTCTTCTCCTCTGCTGCTTATCTGTCTTCTGCAATAAACTGTAACCTTCTTCCCAAAGCAGTCGCCATGTTTGCTTATTTATTCCCGGCTTGGATGAACCAGGATGAAGACTTACTTCTAACACTGGCATCGAAGGTGCTTGAAGCTGGAATGAAGCCCGCCTCCGATGTATGCATTTTGAGCTGAATGGATGGAATTGGCTCGTGGGTGTAATTTCAGGCGCCGCTTTGGGCTTCGGGCGCCGTCGACTGTAAAAGAACCGCAGGCGTTAGTTACTGTAATGCAGGGCTTTTCAACCAGTGGTACGGGTACCACCTGTGGTACATTGGCACCTGGCAGGTGATACGCGACCATCCTAGAAAAGTGGTAGCGGGGGAGGGGAATGAGCTGAACCGGTGTCAGCATTGCACAAGCCTGAGCGAGAGATGGCTGGAGCTGCAAGGCTGTCAGGGCTCAGTGGAAGCCCCAGGATCAGCGCCAGGCTCCAGCTGGAGCTCGGCACTGATCCTGGCACTTTTGCTGAGGCCAGAAGAAGCGCCGATCAGCTGGAATGTTGCAGCATCTCCAGGGTCTTGTGATTTACATTCAGATGCTTGGCAACTGATTCATATTTATGACGGTCACAGTGTCCCACAGTCATGTGAAGTGACCAAAACCTGCTGCATCCACCCAGCAGATGGGGGGAATAAAAACCAACCCCCCCCCACCCCACCCCTGCTGCCAATCCTCAACAGAAATGCTCACAACAATGAAAACCTCGGACAGGAGAAAGAGTGCTGCCGGGCGGGCAGGCAGGTGTGTCTTGCTCGGCTATGGCTTGGGGGGCACTTTTTTCGGTGCCATTCTAACTTCAAACAGTCACTAAGCGAACTGTTGTAAGTCTAGGACTACCTGTACTTTATCACTTTTTTCCTTCTTTTTTTTTTGGTCATCAAGTTTTTGACACCTTGCTGGTGGTACTCGGATGTTGCCATATCCTAAAAGTGGTACAATGGGTGAAAAGGTTGAAAAGCCCTGCTGTAATGTATCGGGCCAAGGCGTTTTACCTCCAGTCTTGTAGCTGGTGAGCTCCCTTGGCCCCTGAGCTGCGGTCCAGGCCTGCATTCTGAAAATGGATGGGCTAAAGCAAACTTTTAAATTGTTAATTAAAATCTTCAATAGCCATAATTAAATACTGATAACTAGATTTCTTTTGAAGTAGTTTTTCGGTTTTGTCGCAGCTGAAATTGGGAATAGGCAGCCTTTTGCTGTATTAAACCCCTCTTTCTCATCCACTTAGTCAAATATCTGAAGGACCATTAGGTAGAAAATATGCCTGTTTATTGTTTCATAGGAAAGGACTAGAGCTAACTGGTAGAACTTGTAGGAAAGTGGGTAGGGCAGTGGTGGCGAACCTATGGCACGGGTGCCAGAGGCGGCACGTGCGCCGTCGCCCCAGTCCTAGGTCCTCAGCTGGGTTTTATAAAACCTTTTTGCTTTAGACCTCCGCCACCGTATACAAAAAAAAAAGGTTCAATCAGTCAATTTCAACTTCTCACGGGAAAAAAAAGATCTTGCAAAGTTGGAATTGATTGATTGAACTTTTTAGTCCCACCCAGTCTGCTGTTACCACCGCAGCCACGCCCACCCAATGGGCCACACCCACCTGGCACCCGACGATGCATAAGTGGGTTTTGGGTTGCAGTTTGGACACTCGGTCTCTAAAAGGTTTGCCATCACTGGGGTAGGGCTTAGGAGATATTTCTAAAGTGAAGAGCTGTTTTGGTACCTTGGTTGAGGAGAAAAAGTCATTTGCCAGAAGCTTAGATGCTATCAGAAATGTAACTTGGATTCTACAGAGTAGGGCAGTGGTGGCAAACCTATGGCACGCGTGCCAGAGATGGCACTCAGAGCCCTCTCTGTTGGCACGCGCGCCACCACCGCCAGCAGCAGGTCCATCAGGCCACTACCGCCGCCTGGAGCAGGAGCCCTGCCCAGCACAAAAGAGGTGAAGCGGCCGACTAGCAAGCTCGAGGTGGTAGAACAGAGGTCACCAACCATTGACGATTGGTGGACTGGAAGAAAAGGGAGGGGGAAGCATTTTACATGCGTGCATTCGCGCACGGGGCCGCGAGCACACGTGCTGCAAATGGAGCGAGGCTAGTGCCTGCGTGATACTAGCCCTGCCCCGTTCTTGCATGGTGCAGCGCCTTGTATCTGCACCCCGTGGTGCAGTGGTGGCCGTTTTTGCGCCTTGCAGCACGGTGGCCCATTTTTGCGCCCCTGGTTTTTGCGTGCTGGGGAGGACACTCAAAGGTGCCTCCCTGCCCCCTCAAGGGCACCAAAATGCTGATGCAGCCCTAACACTTTGCAATAAATAAGTGGATTTTGGGTTGCAGTTTGGGCACTAGGTCTCTAAAAGGTGCGTCATCACTGGAGTAGGGAATATGGATGAGATACCTTTAAGGTTTTTCCAAGCTAATCATTTTAGGAATAGTATTTTGATAAAGGTAAAGGTTTCACCTATGCCAGGGGTGTCTGCTGGCCCACGGGCCAGTTGTATCATACGGAGGCCGCACCCACTCCAGCTCCGGCAATGCAAAAAAGTCACAATACATCGCGACACGTCACATGACGCGGCAAGTTTGACACCTGTGACCTATGCAGTCATGTGGGACTCTAGAGGGCAGTACTCACATCTCCGTTTTTTAGCCAAGGGAGCCAGTGTTGTCAGAAGACACTGTGGTGGTCATGTGACCAGCATGATTATACGGCAAGGGGCAGGGAATGCTGTTATCTACCCACCAAAGTGGTACCTATTCATCTACTCACATTTGCACGCTTTCAAACTGCTAAGTTGTCAGGAGCCGGAGCAAGTAATGGGAACTCACCTGTTACATAGCGCTCAGGTCTCAAAATGGGCTGTCAGTTTTCTAACTTACAAACTCAGCGTCTTTAACTGCTGAGCCACTGCACCCCCTTCGAACAGTACTTACTTCGAACAGTACTTAATCACAATGTCTTTTTATGTATAAACATTCTTGCTTTCACCACTGGTGCTCTCCAACTGACCATCCCTTTATCAGTTTTCACATTCATTCCAAAGCATGTGCCACTACAGCATATAACGCGTAAAATCTCTTGACGTTATCCTGGTTGAAAATACATTTCCTAAACTTGTATAACCATTTTAATAGAGCTGTTGTCTAGAAAATCTCAGTTACTACAAAAGTAATTCTGGGAACTCAATTTGTGTTTTAAAGCAACTTTTCCAACCCGAAGTTCTCTTAAGGGCATTGGTGCTACAGGGTTTTAAATTATTTAGCTTTATCACCAATTACTATCCTTATTGTAGGATGGAGAATTGTGGGAGTTGAACTAAGCAAAGGAACTGCTGGGCTCAAATTTGCCACCTCCTAAAGTACTTTTGTCATTTAAATAATGGGCCCCAGACTATTACCACATGATTTTAAAATGGAGAGATTAAAGGAGGCCCAACGATGTATTTCTCATTCAAAATGGATGTACTCTGATTTGTGTCCCCTTTGAACACACAAATATGGGCTGCAAGCTACAGTATCTACAAGATTAGATAATGCAGGTAGCACACTGATCAAAAGATTAGGTTCATATTTCCATAAATTGATGTGGTCTGAAATTGTTTTATATTGAATCTGCCTTTCAGCATATGATACATGTGTGTAAAATTAGTAAGATATTTTCAGAAAACTCTACATCAATCCCCCACATTGCTCTTCATAGGGCTTATGCATCTGTCCTCAATTATTATGGACTGCCACCTGTGGCAATGACTGATACCCACTGGGGCTATATACTTCTCTACTTTATTGAAAAGGCTGTAAAGACATGAACTTACACAGAGAAAAGTCTCACAGATGAAAGATCTTTTCATGTAGGACAGGGGTCTTCAAACTTGGCCCTTTTGTGACTTGTGGACTTCAACTCCCAGAATTCCTCAGCCAGGCATGCTGGCTGAGGAATTCTGGGTGT